TATAGTTTGAAATCTTCTGTTTGAATTGAGAAAATAAATATGTTTTCCCTTTTCCATCTAGACTTATCATAAAAATTAGTAAAATCTCTAATTTTGTATTGTTGTCTATTCTATTCATTGACTTATTATTTATAATGATTTATATATAAATATCTGTGTAGTTCCTAGAAAAACTGTGAGTATAATTATTTAAATACTCTTTCTCTCATATTTTCATCCACATGTAACAAACTTATGGGATATTTTGTCCAATTTTGTTTTTAAAAAGATGGATAACATCATTTTTCATTCGATTTAAATTTATTTATTTCATTCAAATTCTGCTTATTTTTGAAGTCAAAATGAAAATTAAAAGATATTAAAGGCATTTTTATTTGTATTGTGAGATTTCTAAGAAACCATTAATAATATTTTTAAGATGAAACTATTGTAGATTTACTAAGAATAACAGATTATAAAAGAACAATGTAATGAAACAATAAACATCCTCACCTATATTCTTACTTTATTCATTTATATAAAATTATTTGATTAATTTTCCATAAAGACAAACGACGAAATGAACAAATTTCTGTTTATTTTTGATTTAAGGTGAAGTTGTTGTGGGTGGAAATGGTCAAGGGAAGTAATCAAATCAATTGAGTTGTCTCGCAGGTTTATCATTTGATACAGAAGAAAATTCAATTAGAAAAAATTTTATTTTTATAGAAAAATTAAATAAAAGATTTTTCAAATTCAGAAAAATATTAAAAAGTATAGGTGTAGATGTGGGTATAGATATTATATTGATCTCACATTCTCATTTCAGTGTTCATATTTAATGTATATCTATTGTATATTCATCTGACTATGTTCGACAAAATTCATTGAATGTAAAATATGAAAACTTGTCTTTCTATATAAAATTTATGTTAAAACTATCCCCATATAAACTATTGATGACAGAATGTTTGCTTCTTGAACACTTCTATCTTTCATATTAATATATGTCATTTAGTATTTTTTTAGTTTCATAGCATTTGAATAAAATAGAACAGAACTGTTTTTATGTTTCCTCATTATTCTATCTGTATATATTACATATGAAAATTGATAAGAGGTATATTTGACAATAGCGTAATATATTGAAGAATACATCAAGTAAGAAAAACAATTATACTTTTTAAAAAACGACACAATCTACTTATTCATATTTGAAATTACATTAAAATTCGATGATTTCATATGTTTGGCACAAACTTCGTACATCACAAGATAAATATAAGTATATAGTGTAATAAAATTGAAATAGAGTTATATATCATTTGATCGATTTCTAAAGAATCATAATTAACTTTTATCTAAATATCGTACAATATTAAATATAAGATTTTCTTTTCAAGGAGAATTTGATGATTGTACATTTTATTAGTCCTTAAACAATAATAATGTTAGAAACTTTGATGAGATATGAAACTATTCAATTCTGTAGAATATAATTATTCTAAGAGACATTAAATAATAGAGAAACTTCATCAAACTTCTTAGTCTGTTATATATTCATGAGAGAGATAATAAAGTTGATTATTTAAATATTGATTTTAATTCTAAACTATTAGAAAACAAATCAAATTATTATTCTTAAACTAAATAGACAACAAAGAAAAGAACTGACAAACAATCTGAATACGTCATAAAAAATTATTTGATAAAATTTCAAAGTTATTAATATCAAAAACTTCTATATGATATTGATTATAATATACAATCGAATTTTTTGTCAACATTATCTATGAACTTAAAAATAATATTTTGAACATCTTAAATATTTGATATAAAAGACACATCTATATAGTTCTTCTTTCTCACTATATCACCATTTTACTCAGTTTATTCACTTATAAAACATCTTAAACAATTTGTCTTTAATAAAATATATTTTATTTATTCGAAATCTTAAAATTTTTGTTTAATTAATTGAAAATAATAATAAATTCAATGTTATTCCTTTTCTAATATTGACTTGATTATCTCATCTTTGGATTAGAACATTCATTTTGACACAATAAATACTCTTTAAAATAATTGCAAACATATATATCGACAAGAAAAATATCAAGAACTGTTTTTTCTACACTTTAGACCGAACTTTCGATCATTATCAATGGAAATCTTGTTGATAAAAAATAAGATTACTAAACATTTTGTAGAATATTGAGGTTGATTTAAATACTTTTCAATACTAAAGTATCTGATTAATTTACCTATGGTTTGTTTGCTAATGTTGATTTTGTATTAAAACGTCAGTACATCGACAGTGTTCAGTACGCATTCTTGATAGGAATAGGTATTTTCCAAGTGACTGGAGCACACATTCACACTATGACGATGGAACAAAATTTTATCATTCGAGTTTTTTTACTCTGAATCGAAAAAATCTTTTTGATTCAATACAATTTTAGGATTATCATATTTTCATTCTCATCAGTTTCTGTAAAAAGAAAGGAAATTATTGCATCATTCTATTTTACATCATTTACAAATTCATTCTCGAGTTTAATTTAAAATAAATAGATAGACATCTGACACAAGATTTTATAGTTATTAGTATTAATCTTTGATTATATTTTTAGAAAATCTTGCAATTGATAAACTATATGAAGTTGTTGTAGCAATAATTTATCTTTTCATTTTAAGAATTCAAATTAATTTTAAATACCATTGAAACTGAATTATATCGAATATTATATCAAACTAAGTCCAACATGAAATTTTGTTGTTTGTTTAATAAGAACATTAATAAAATCATATTTATTAATTACTATTTCAATATTGCTTTTTCATTCGTTATATCGAGTTCTAATCTCCTTACTCAGTCTGTTCGTTGATCTTTATTTTCTTGAAATTTTTCAATGACTTTATCTGTATCTGTTATATTAATATTACTTACAATCACTTTCACATCATGTAAGATATATGTTTGACAAATAAAAGAACCAATTCGATCGTCTGTAATAAAAAAATGGCTTTATTAGTTAATAGTTAATGCCAATCTTGGATTGTTTGTATATTATATTCAGAGAGTGAAGATATAATTATGGTTAATAACAAAATAAGATAGAAGTGTATTTGCTCGATTAAATAGTAATTAATATATAGATACACTTAGTACACATGGGTTAATAGGAATTGCAACATATATTTATTGAGCTTTTAATTCTAATTGAAACAAAGTTAGTATTTTATAGTACCTAAATCATATTTAACAATATCTTTTCATGTGATCATGGTACTCATTGTATCATACTGATTGTCTTGTGAGTAGTTTTATTTAATTTATATGTATTCTACTCACCCACATAGAATACTTCGTTACATATTTTTCAGTTAGTAGTTTTGTATTAAATTAGTTTTGAATTATTCCTAAAATATGAAAGAAAATAGAAGTGTATGGAATATATATTTAAGAAAAAACATAAAAATGAAAATCGAAAGTTCATGTCTCTTTCATATATTTTGTTTATTTTTACTTTTACACAGGTAAAGTTGGTTGAAGAGTTATATTCCTATTCCAGACAGAAATCAATCAACTCTATCTGAGGGTATGCTTAAACTGTTTAGATTCTCACTAGTATCATTAATCTTACTTTAAGATATAGGAAAGTTAAGCATAAAATTAGATAGAACTCGTTGAGTTCTACTTTGAAACAAGTATCTAGATAAATCTAAGTCCCTCATTTCACTAATGTTTTCCTAATAACATCATACGCATGTTCATCTAACCTTAAAGTTAAAATATAAGAAGCAATTCTTTTATTCTTCTCTTCTTCATTCTTTATCAGAAGAACACGCAGAGAGTGCATATGATTCATACGAATGAATAACATTCAGTTACTATCTTATTCGAAAATATATAAACAATATTATATTAAAAAAGTAAAATTTAAATGGATAAAGCTACAGATGAAATAGATAGTTGTTCATTTTCCTCCCCTCGGTTACACCAGTGATGTATGTATGACTGTGCAAAAAGGTTGAATATAATACCCACATCTACATCTATATTCACACTCCTCAATATTTGTGTCGTTATCTTTTGCAAGCAGAGAAGAAGCTCTATGAAGATAAATAATATCATCGTCAATAAAAGAAAAAGAAATACTTCTCACCAACTTGGATGTATAACTTTGTTTATCATTCTTTAAAAACCAAGATAAAAGAATTTATTTACCTTCATATATAAAAGGTGAATTATGTGTGCTGTGTATACTTTTATTCATTTCGAAGAGAGAAACTATTACTAACATACACTTCCAAAAAGACAGAATAGCAAGTGACTTATAAATAACCAAAGTCAGTAAATATTACTCAACCTATCTTCTTTTACAGCGTTTTTTTCCCTTTCGAGATCCATGTGTTTGAGGTAGAGTTTAAATGGATATGCTTGTACGAACTGTTGCCCACTTTGATCATAAAAGTTCTCCTAAGCTTAAAGTTTAACTTGAATCTCAGGGAAGTATTATGACTTTTCAATGATTGTAGATGCCACAGAGATGTTCATTTTTAGAACTTGTTTTATTTCTTTGGGAGTTTGCAAAAGAGGAAACATCAAATCTATGAGTTTAAGTGTTAGTGCAGATGAGAGTATATATGAAGATGCGAGTATAGATGATGATGTGGTTTGTCAGTTAATGTGTACGATGTGAAGATATCATGAGAATGAAATTATTGAGAAATGACTATAATATCCATATCAATATTCGCCCTTGGGCATCTACACCATGCTACCTACTGTCATCTTCATTGTCATGGTCGTCCGTAGACTTACCCTCACTCTCACACACTCATCGATCGCATTTAAATATGCTTAAAATGAAACAATATAAAAACTGCAGTAAAGTAACTTTGATCGTCAATTTTTTCAAACTTAATAATCAAAATACAGATCAAATAAAGTTTTCTTTTTTCTTTATTTAGTTCACCATTTAATAAAAAACAATTTGAATAATTAATTAATTATAATGAGTCATAATGGAGATCGTTTTACAGATATCGAACTGGAAAATAAACGCTTGCCAGCATGTTATGGTTATCTTAATTATAAATTATTATCTCTTACAGAAGCGATGAATGAATTACAAAATTTTCTGAACGATATAAATCGTTTTGTTAAATTAGCTAAAAGACATTGTACATATCCAAATGATCATAATTTAACAAAAGATGAATCTGCTGCAATTTATATTTATACTATGGAACTGTCTGATGATTCAAGTGTTTATCGTATTTTAAATCAAACACTTCGTGCAGAAGATCGAACAAAAGTTCGTCCATGGTTTGGATATTTAAGACTTTTAGATTCTGCAACATCAAAATTACCTACATTCAAAGGAATTATTTGGCGTGGTATTGATAAAAATGTTACTATGAAATTTAAAAAAGGTCAAAGAATTACTTGGTGGAGTATAAGTTCATGTTCAACATCTATTGATGTTATTTCTTCATTTATTAGCAAATCTTCTTCAAGTACATTATTTCATATCGAATGTTTAAATGGAAAATCTGTTTCATCATTTACATGTTATCCAAATGAAAACGAAGTTATTTTAATGCCTGGAACAGTATTTGAAGTTGTATCTAATCCATTAAGTCATCATGGCGGATTAAACATTATTCATTTAAAAGAAATTAGTGATGATGATGAAGAAGAAGAAGAAGAATCACCTAGACCATCAAAGCCAAGTAAGTATTTCAACTATTATGTTTATTTTTGTTCCAAATTCAAAAACATTTGTTTTATTTGACTAATCAAAATATTTTGATAGACGAAAATATTTATCGAAAAAGTTAATAAAATAATTCAATAAGTATACCATTGTAGAATTTATTATTTTAATCTCAAATTAATGAGTTGAATAAGAAATATTTGATATTTTATTGTTGAATTTGATCGATTGAAAATCTTAATTAGAAAATAAAATAATTAAAGATTTTACTTGGACAATATTATTTCTAAGAGCAATTATAAAAACAAGTGTTTCAAAGATCAATGAGAATATAAACTAATTCAACAGAATAAATCATAAATTATTGATCTTCATTCAAAAAATTTAAAATTATAAAATCAAATTTTCATTCCTTCTTATTTTAAATTATTTCAAGAACTTAAACAATAGTTCTCATAATCTAAATAATTTTTTATTTATTTCTTCAAAATAAAAATATTCTATTCATATTCTTTAGTATTTTTATATAAATAAAATTAAAATAAATTATTTATTTTTCTATTATTGTCAAATAAAATGGTTATATTTTCTTTTTGTTAAGATCCTTATAAGCCAAGTCATTCTGCAATTAGCACAGCGACTATATCAAGCAATCCAGTAACAACACATCAAATAACAATTCAATCTCAAATAAAACCACGTATGTTTCATAATAAAAAATAGCTTTATTATCTTTAAAATTGAGATAAAACTTTTCATAAATTATTTTTATTAATTAAGTAACAATAAAAATTCATTTTCCAAATAGTATTATTCTTTGGATAAGAAATAACAATTTTTCTTGAAGCATTAATCATACAATTATTCATAATTTGATTCTTTTTTATTGTTTATATCACTTAATATAACACTGAAAAAAGATTTCATCCAACGTTTTCGAATTATTTTTTCCGCAGAGATAACGAGAATATTATTAAATAAATGTTTAAAATGAAAATTCTTTTGAAAAATAACAAAGTTTATTTTCATTTTAAATATTTTTTATAAATTAATTTATATAAATAAGAACTAAACTTAAGATCGAAAGTTTTCTTTTCTAATTAAAATAAGCATTTATAGAATTGCTAATCAAATTAATCAGTTTGAATAGTTTTTAAAAACAGTAAATAATGTTCTACTAAGAATTGAATAGATTTATTAGAAATTAAAACTAATTTGATTGACTTTGTTTTTCATCATAAAAAAGTTTTCATTGTGTTCTGATTAATTAATTCATTCATTAAATAATAAAATAAAATTTATTTTATAAATAATAACATTATTTCATCTATAGAATTTATTCAAAATATTTATCTATGTTAAT